TCCCTCAAATAAGCTTATTTGAGGGATCCCTCAATGGAAGCTCTCTGTATATATATATATACATAAGTTACACAACCAAGATGTCATAAGGATTTAAATTAGAAAAAAAAACTTTATTGTAACGGAATAATATTGTTTTATTACTCGATCAATAACACGACGACACATGAAAAAGTTATGTCACATGTGATTGTATTATTAATCGGAGATAACAAAAAGTGATATTCTCATTATATGAGAGTTTATCTTCTAAATTTGAGACATTTAGTCTGTATGTCAATGCACTTTTCTTACTTTCAACGAGATATATTAATAAAAAAACAAAACTGATGATTTTGATTGCTACATAAAACAATTATTTACACGGATGTGCTTCTCTAAACCATCACTTTCAAACTTAATTGATTATATAGACATTAGTGATTGTAATTTTGTACGATTAAGATTAGGTTAAGCAGGAATAAGTGTGGCCGTTGAATAAGATACATGGATTAAGAGGTAAGTTCATTCGAATATGCTATCTAAAATAAATTGACAACGTGCGTAAATCTTTGTATGGTTTGTACTCTAATACATTTTGTGAGAGAACGCAAATAAATAACACTACAAATGATCATCATCACAAGAGATAATCACAAGAGATCATGACAATATATTAATTTGATGTGGAAGCTGTAACATAAGCAAATGGTGCCTCCTTGACCAAATCCTCTCTTTGAAACCTTCACATCAAAGATATTATTTTCGCAGATAAAATCCACGAAAGAATAGTCAAAGCACAACTGGTGGCACATAGTGGATAAATTAAAAGATTTCCAATGGATAAGGACGGGCTTATCAACTCCACAAGCCACGTCACGAATCCAATCACAGTGTACATGAAAACCAGATATAATTGTTTATAGAGGGTGGTGGGTTTAAATTACAATGATTCTTTTCCACAGGTTTAATCATTTTCTTAACCCATATTCCATACATGGATCTAAATTAATAATCTTTTTACATTAAATAAATTATAATTTTCTGTTGCTTCATTCTTTATAATAGGCTTGGAAATCAAAGCTTGTTCAAAGCTAAAGCATCAATGAATTCTATCTGCTTATAAACCCAGAGGGTCAGTTAAGGTTCAATAAGACAGACGATAATCTAAATTAATTTAATGTTTGAAAAGATAGTCTAAATTAATCTAATATTCAATAGGACAAACGATAATCCAAATTAATCTAATGTTCGGAAAGAAAAACTCGAATTTAGATGCAAGGCAGAACGAATAAGACAATAAAAATAGCTACTAATCTAATGTTCGGGAAGAGAAAAGAAACTTGAATTTAGATGCAAGGCGGAATGAATAAGATAATAAAAATTAGCTACTAAATTTCATAATTCATTCATATGATATGCCTGAGAATCCAAAGCTTCAGACTGAAGCTTGAAGACAAAACACAACTTTTTTCATCATAATGTTGGCTACCCAGATTAAATTACAATATTTTCTCATATGTGCAAAGACATTAATTATGGGAATAAAAAACCCAACTCGATTGCAGAAATGGGGAAATTTACATTAATTACGCCATGAAAATGAACTTACAGATATGATTATCCGAGAAAATTTGACGGAAGATGCAAAAAGAAAATTACAATTCATAGACATCGATCAAAGAAAGTAAACAACAGCTACCCAAATCCCCAGCAGCCTCAAGAAATTCTTCTTTTTTATCTGTACAAATTTGCAGGACGGGACTTTGGAAAATCTCCTTCCTTCCTTCACAATTCATCACATCAACTATTTACAACAGTTTCAAAATTAACCTCTATTCACAAAAGGTCAGAAGAATCAGAAGGCCACCGATATTTAACGCATCAGCCGAAAAAATGAATCAAAACGGAACACGATCGACAAACGAGTTCACACTGCACTCGGGTTTCATTCACTCACTAGCTCCGAAACCCAGCCCACATCGGGAGCTGACATGCCCGAGTCGACTCGGCCGACTCTGCCCATCGAGTTTTCCTTACTCAGCCTCGCATACATTCTCGCTCGGAGGTCCCTCCCGGACTCCACCCTCTCCATTGCCGGCTCTTCCTCGCAAGGGTGGTCCCAAAGATCAACCGCCCCGGGTCCAACCCGACCCGAGGTCCGAGTCGGAGTCGAAGGAAGGCTACAAAACGCGGGTCGGAGCGCAGACCCGCGTGGAGAAGAACCAAACCCAGATCCCATTTGTGGGCCCCATGCAGGCTGAGCACTCATTTTCATTTTAGCAAGCTTAAAGTTCCGCATCGAAGCGACGAGTTCACTCACCGAGTTACAGCCGAGTTGAGGGCTGTTGGGCGACATTGGTGGCGAGTCAGACGGCGGAGATATCGGCGGCGATATCAGGATCGAGGTGGGTGACGAACCGTACGAATACGAGTCGAAAGCGCCCGACCCGTGAGTTCTCGGGCTCTGCCCGGGCAGGACCCGAAGCTGTTCGGGCGTGTGAGCAAAGAAGCAGACCCGGCGGTGGCAGCCCAGCCCATCCTTGCATGGCTGCGTCCGGTAACGAGCCGGGTGGAGCCAACACTCGAAAACGCCGTGCGCGAACTCGCATGAGTCGCCTTTGGCGCAGTGGCCCTTGCGGAATTCGGGGCAGGCGGCGCCCGAGTAGTGGTACTTTCTCGGGTCGCGGCGCCGGGCCTTCTCACCCGGGTGGGCATACGGACACTCGGTGCAGTCATGTGACCTGCCACGCGCGCACCGCCGGACCTTGAACTCGAACATGCGGAACTGGTCGCAGGAGATCGGGTTCATGGGCATGTCCGGGTCGTCGCCGAGCGAGTCAGACTCGTTCGACGGAAGGTAACGGTGGAGTGCGGCGAGCGAGTCGAGAAACATCGGAGACAGTGGAGAGTAATCTCCGTTACCGGCATTGCTGTTTATGTTAACGGAGGGATTTGGGGCAGAGAACGGCGACGTTGGAGTGAGATCATCGAATGGGTCCCACGGAGGGACTTGGAGGGTCGGGTGCAGTCGGGTCGGTTCTCCTAACATCATTTTCGGGTGGGGCTTGGACTCGGGAGTTTCTGCAAATGCTAGAGAAGATGGTCGCTGATTGTCTCATATATATAAACGGTTTTGAAGGAGGAGGAAGGAGGAAAGAGAGAAGGCAAATGCCAAGTAGGCCACACAGTCACAGAGTGGGGTTGGGTTTTAAGTTAACCGTGGTGGAGTTAAATAACGTAACTGCGGTCAATTAACTCTAGTAAAATATCTACCGCCTCCAGAATAGCCCCTCTATTTCCATGGAAAGCCAACGATTTTTCAAAATTTAATATATTTTACATTTTTTAAAACAATAAATCCCATTTTTAATGCTGCCCTTGCACCTTTTTAAAAATATTTATTATAATTCTAGTGTTACATCTAAATTGCTTCTCACCCTTAAAAAAAAAAACAAAAAAAAAAACTATTGCTTGGAAGAAAGCCAACCAACACTTAGTTAATCTCAAACAAAGATTTATAAGGATCGAATCCAATAAATCGGTGCATGAACTTGTATAGATCTGGTTTGATGTTTAAAATGTTTTATTTTCCCCAATCAAATTTGCTTTATAACGTTTTTCACCTAAAAATGCATGCAGAAATGGTGGATAAGGTTCATGATCAAACAAAAAAGGAAGATAAGATCAAGCAATGAAAGTCATGCAACATTTCAACCACTTCGATTATGATTGATTATAGACTTATAGCTCATTGCTATACCTTAATCTTCAAGACAAAAATAGTACTTGCCTATTTTCTATGGAAGAGCGATTTTCACACAAATTTGTGCAAATTTTAGATTTCTAAAAGAATATTGCCCTAGATTTTTATGTTCCGTTTTTGCTCAAATGGTAATTGGATAAATATTTGTCCGAAGTAAGACATGTATTTATAAGGGGTTTATAACTTAAGTAGTTTGTGCTAAAGAAAGTGAGATTTTTAATTATAGTGGTACCTGAATTTATAACCGAGTTTTATTTTGATTCTTGAACTTGTTTGTATGTTATTTATGTCTTTAACTTATCATACGTGTTCCAATTTAATCATTTTCTTCCATCAAATTCTATCAATTCTATCTCAGGGGTAAAACGTCAATTTTGATACTATTTTATCCCCTAAAACCAACAAAAAAATTTAATAGAATAACTAAATTGGAACTTTAATGAGAGTTGAAAGATTAAAAGGTCGTAATACATGGAGATTGTGCATTCATTCCAACGAGCTACTTGGATTTATGAACTCACGGACCACGGGCCCTGGTTTGGTACAAAGTAGTACCTCCGGATTAAAATTGCACGTAGATTTGGGTCCAGGTTAACCTAACCGGGTCAAGGTGGTGATAAGAAGCTGAGATTGAGAGGTTGTAGGCCCAACCCCTTCAATAAAGAAAAGTTGACAGGTCGGCAAAATGTAATCGCGGTGGGATCCTCCGTCGATGGATGGTTCATAAATACTCTGGGACGGAGGGAGGGTTACGTGTAATTTGCGAACAACAAATTCTGTACGGAAAACACGTGTGAGCTCGTCGATCGATGCTGTACATACACGTGGTTGGTGGTTTCTCGAGGTGGCGGTGACTTAACTTCGTCCTTGGCTGATAGTCGCAGGGCTCTAGCGGAACGGATGGTGTACGTGTGGCACCTGATTTGGCTCCTCCGCATTTGCACTCCTCGAGATCCTCATGATCTTGTCGACTCAGTCCACTGGAGATTTTATTTTTTATATTTATCTTGTTTTTCCTATTTGTAAATTTCTTCATGGATATTAGAAGAACAAAACAAAATCTTAAACAAATGGTTTCCCCAAAAAACAAAAACAAAAAAAAATCTTTAAAAAATGGTAAGGGAAGAGTCACAAATTAACAATGTCACTTTTGTTTGATATATGTTTAATCTTTACTCTTTTGGTATTGAGATTTATGTTACAATCAGTCGTTCATGTACAACAAGAAGTCTAAAAATTAATTATGATTTGTTTTGAATGAAAATATGGGCTTAGCTAAGTTGGCTAGAGCAGTTATACTCTCTTTTATGCATTCGAGTTCGAATTCTCTATCCCGTAATTTAAATTAATTTAAAATAAAATAAAATCATGCTCTTAGCTTTGGTTATGATGTTTCCTAATTTAAGTAGTTGGATGACGGTGAATAAGTGGATAATCATTTAATCCCATGCATTGGTTGGTCTACTTGTAAATTAGAAGAAAGATGCCAGGCTTAGCAAAAAGAGAATGAAGGCATTAATAATTGTGATTTGGTGGGGCTTTATGGAAGACAAATCTCATCGGCCCGTGGTTTAGGCCTCGTGCTTAGTAAATGTCGCCAGGGTATGCAGCACAGGACAATATTAAATCACTAAATAAACCCAAATTGAGCACCAGTTTCTATCTTAATCACAGTCAGAAAACCCTTTTAAAAGCACTTGGAAGAGTTAAAGTCTTCAACCATTAAATAATTATAGCACTAATGAAAGGAATTATTCTCAAACGGGTAATGGTTCGTTGGGTCGTTTTGCATCACAATCGGCTTAGGCCCAAAATAAAAAACGGGCTTTTGAAATTGGGCTAATTTAATTTATAAAATCAAATTATTTTAAATCATAACTCGTGGGAATTATAATCCACATCAAGCTTGGGTTTTAGAGAAAAAGTTCGCCAAATCGGTACTGACAAAGCTCGAAAAATCGGCCCAGGCGGATCCGGTCCTTTTTTTCCTTGAGGCCGAGCTACCGAGCTTCCTCTCAAGGCCATAATTACCGAGCTCTCTCTCTTCCGCTACTTTGAGGGGCGGCGCTGATTCGATCACCTCGTTCTGAATGTCTGACATGTCCGTGGCTTTCTCAGCATCCATGGTGCAATCGGAACTACAAGCGACGGTAGCATGGAGGTTGTGATTTTTGTGCGGGAGAGATTAAATTTATACATTTAATGGGTCTAGTATAGCCGAGCGGCTATACTAGTTAAATAATATATTTAATGGTTATCATATAGCTGAATGGCTATACTCGTTAAAGAATATATTTAATGGTTATAGTATACCCGCCCGGCTATACTCATTAAATAATATATTTAATAGGTATAGTATCGCAGCGCGGCTATACGCGTTAAATAAAATATTTAATGGATATAGTATAGCCGCTCGGCTAGACGCTTTAAATAATATATTTAATGGGTACAGTATAGCCTCGCACCTATACTCTTTAAATAATATAATTAATGGGTGTAGTATAGCCGCGCGGCTAGATGTGTTAAATAATATATTTAATACAAATTTATAAATAAATCCAGTCTTAGAAATGTATTTATAAAAAAATCCAAACACTATTTAAACATAGAAACATATCCAAAATCAACCCCAAAGTCAACTTTTTGGGTGTGTTTATAAATGAGTTTTGGGTGTATTTATATGTTTACATAGTGCTTGGGTTTTTTTTATAATTTCAACCCCCATTTTGGGTGTTTTAGTGAAACTTCCTATATTTAATGGGTGTAGTATAGCCCTCGGCTAATATATTTAGTGGGTCTAGTATAGCCGCCCGGCTAAACTATTTATTAATTTTGGGAATAAAAAGGACCAGCGTAGCGCCTACAATTTTTTTTTTCCTGGGCGGGGCGGGTCTAGTATAGCCGCCCGGCTAAACTATTTATTAAAATATATAATTTTTTTTTTGGGAATGAAAAGGACCAGCCCAGCGCCTACAATTTTTTTTCTCCTGGGCGGGGCGGGTCTGGCATCTCTACAAATGCATCAGGCTAAGATTTTAGAGACTCAGTCTTTCTCACCGTTTATCAACAACGTAAAGGTTAGTTCTTCCCAACGATTCACGCTTTTTTTCTGTGCATTTCTTATGCTGTGACTTAGAGTGCATTCATTTGAAATTTGTCAAATTGTCGATAGGTCTGAAGAAGTTGTAAAGTCTTGGCATAAATATTGGGCTCTTTCTCATGAATTAGTCCATGTTTCACCGCAATTGAAAATCAGTTCCATTTTCTGTTTTTGGTTTATGTCATTTGGTCGCTAGGAAGCTGATGATGAACAAATATTCTCTTACCTAAATATTCAGTTTCATGTTTCTTTTGTTGTATTGATTGATTAGTTACAAACTGAGTTAGTCTGGTTAGCTGACCCAAAAGGAGTATGCTGCTTTCTGTTGAGTCATCTCTTCTTTTGAAAGTTCCCATTCCATTTTCAATGTCATCTTATAGCTCTCTGTACTCTGATGATGAATTCTTTTGTCTACAGCAGCAGACCTTAGTCTACGCAACCTGCGATGCGAGGCTGCGACCACAAACAAACACATCTTCATAAGGCTTTATAGCTCCGTAATGAACTTCAATCCCAAAAGGCATCAAATCAAATCATATCACTGAAACTACAATTTAAACGTTATGAGGGAAGTGCGACATGTTGAATCTGAATGAATGTAGCCAAAAATTGTAGCATGAAACCAGAGAGCATTTCGAGCTATCTTCTTCCACTGGCAATATCATTGGTTCTTCTCCAAGCGGCAGTCAAGGCAAAGGCACCACGGAATATAATTGGTT